CAATTTATAACTTTAATTAAATGAGTCATGTGACTATCATTTAAAGTTATATAATTGTTATTAAAAATAATTTTTATAATAAAGATAAAGTTAAATAATAATAAATCAACATAAAATAATAATTTTCACAGACGGTTGTTGGTTTGGGTGTTGTGGTTGGATGCAGTGGTTGGGTCGCGACACTGCTGTGGTTGTTGTGGCAATGGTAAGGCTGCGATTTTTTGATGTGGGGAGTTTCGTTGTCGTTGGGCTGCGACGCTGCAGTGGTGGCTATGGTAGCGCTTGGGTCACGATTTTTTTGTTGTGGCGGTTGGATCGCGATTTTGCGGTGGTGGTCTTTCTGGTGGTGATTTTGGGTGTGGCGGTGGGGGTATTTCTGGTGGCAATTTTTCAATGGTTGGGTCGTGATTTTAGCTGTAGCGGTGGGGGTTTCTAACGACAATTTTGGTGGTGGTGGTGGTGGTGCAATGGTAGTTGGGTCGCGATGGTGCAGTGGTGGGTTCCGGTGGTATAATGGTGGTCACGATAGTGCACTGGTGGTGCAGTGGTGGTCGGGTGTGGTGATGGTTGTCGGTAGTTGAAAACAACAAAAACATATTTTGAAAATTTTGGTCAAGTTATAACTGAAAATACCAAAAACGACAAATTTGTCGTTTTGGGTTTTCTTTGTAAATTTTCAACCTGTTTTCAAAAACGCATTTTTAAAAATATGAAAGAGCACGTATTTTCACTATTTTGAAAAATCAAAAACAGAAAACGGCCCAAAAAGATCAAAGAGAACAGACCCTAATTTATTACATTAATGAGTAGTACCAACCGTTTTATTGTGACAATCAATGCAAATATTGAACAAGAATTTGACGCGTGGCTTTATTAATAAGTCCTTTGCATGCTTTATATTAATTACGTATAATAAATGAGGATGGTGGTGGCAAAGTGGCAGCGAGGGAAAAAGCCTGCGGCGGCAGATTGCGTTCGCCTCCTTCAGTAATTTATACTTCGTTTTTGGTGCGTCTTTATTTTTGTTAGATAATTGCCTCATTTAGTCAAAATTGGTGACTTAAAGGATAATTGACATTTTTTCTTCTTGGTTAAGACTTGAGAAGTCAAAGAAAGAGGAGAATTTAGAATTGAAATCTCTACCTCCACCTCCTTNTGATTAAAGCAAGGGTTGTACGAATCTTGAGCCTGTGGGTTTTAATACGAAGATAAGTTTCTGATTCAGTTTTCTGTTCTTCACTTGAGTTGATTTCGTATAAATTTGATGTTTAATGTTCTTAAGCTTTCAGTTTCTGATTGTTGATGTATATTGATTTACATTTATGCATTTGATCTTGAGCTAATTGGTTGTTCTCCTCCTAACAAATATTGGTAATTCTTGAAAATGCAAGTTACATAACAGAATCGAACACGTCTTAACACAATCACTTTGATGCATCTCATGTTGAGAAATATTTTAAGTGGGACAATCTTGTATGCTCATGTTATATGATTGTTCATTTAAATTATGTGATCTTGAATTTCAAACCATTTAGGTAACGACACTTCAAACAAGAAGTTGGATCCAATCATGGACGGTGCTTGACAAATGACGGACAAATTTATTTACGTTTAGAATGGATTAAAACATAAAAAAGTTACTTATGAAAAATTAAATGGGCTTGAGGCAGCCCCTGGGCCAAGGGGTGAAGACCAAGGTTCCTCCCTCTGCCTTGAACCTTCTCGACATTCGAGGTGTTGTGACTAGATTAATTCAATATTCGATGCATCGTGATTGGTTCAATTAAACGAACCACGTAACATTTCATTTAAGAAAATTTATTATTTAAAATCATACCGTTACCATCTAAATTAATACTTAACATCAATGATATTGAATAACATTACTTTAAAAAAAACTTTTGGCTAACCTAAAAGTCACCTCTCTACCAAATATTGCCCAATTTAAAATAGGGAAAAAAGGTCTTTCCAATTTGACCAATTAGAATGATTAAAAAATAAACAAAAAAAAAAAAAAGAGAAAACTAATTAAAATCAAGAAACGAGGGGAAAAAAAATGGCAAGAGCTTTATCTTCTCCCAACCCTCCGTTGCTGTGATATATCATTGCCGTCGCCACTCACATTTTGCCCTTCATTAAATTGGACAAATTTTGGTGAAGGAGTTACTTTTGGGTCAATCGGCGATTTTTTGGTCAGAAACCATTAAAGGGTCCTCACACTACATTATAATTCAAAGGTTTGAGACTTTGGTTACAAAATTGAAAGGTTGGGGATGTCATGGCACTTTTTAAAAAGGTTTGGAACCTCTCATGCAATTTGCCCCAACTCCTTTTAATTAATTGATCTTTTAATATTGTCCAACTGTTTCGATGTTGTATGCTAGGTGACATGATATTAAATGATATATTCATTTAAATGAAATGTCATAATTCAATTAATTGATCATATAAGGTGTAGTAATCTATGCTAGATAGTATTGAAATGGTTGCGAGTTCATCTTATCTAGTACGGTGCTCCGGCTATTCCAATCAACGGTTGCTACTTGCAAAAAGAGGTCGGGACTTTCTCCCCCGTTGTATCTCCGGCGTGAGAATTAGTCACTGGTTTTAGAGAAATAAGGGAAAAGTATAGTGCGAATTTACGTAGTTTTGGGTTTTAAGAAGATTACTTTTCTCACCTTGAAGGTATTTATAGACGCTTGTCGTCGTGCACGCGTTGGGAGTTAGTGGTGTCACGTGTCCCACGTAGACCCCTCATTAACCCCACGTTTTAATGGAGTAAGTCCCGCAAAATAGTTGGTTGGGCCACGTTCACCATTGATCGGTTCCTGTTCAGCTCGTTGTCTTTGGTGTGGTTAAGTACGTCATTGAACTCGTTGAGGCAAACGGCTTATGTGAGCGCAGGGGGTCACATAGGGGTCGACGGTTTCATGGGGGTGACAGCCTCATGGTGGTAGACAATCTTTTGCTGGTAGACGATCCATGTGAACGTAAAGAGCCTTATGAGGGTCGACAACCCACTAGGGGTCGACATCTTTATGGTGGTGGACATGTGAGTCAGCGGTTCCATGCGGTAGATGTGGAACATGTTTCGAATAACCAATGGCTCACGTGGTAAACCGTCAATTCCATCCTATAGCAAGTATTATCCAATACTTCGTAGTTTTTTTTACCAATTATTGTTATCCATTTTGTGCTTATAATTTGACTAGGAAAAAATTAGTCATTCTGTAAATCTGTAAATACTAATATACTATCGCATCGTTTGAAAAAACTTTGCATATTAACAATGCTCCCGCTGAATTCAAGTTTTGATTTCGTCACTAAAAAAACAAAAGTCGAATACCTAGTTGGGCCCAAAATCCGATGGGTCTGGACGTATTATATCCATGCTTGGTCTAGAAAGCACAATAAAATGTAGTGGAAATTATATGGAGCCCTACTTTTCAAGATCCAAGTTCAAAAATCAGATTTTAAATTTTAATGTTCAAAAATCAGATATTTTATAGATAGATACAGATTTTTATATTTAATTA